GTGGTGAGTGAAGGGGCGTCTTATGGGTGAAGGAGTGAGAGGAATAAGGAGGGCGTGGTCACAGGGAGATCTTTGTCCGGTGTCGCAACATTCTAGAGAATTTAACACAGAAAACGTGTTGATTCGAATCCCTTTGTTAATTTTTCTAAAAAAGCATAAAGTATCAAATATCTTAGTTAGATAGTAGTTACCATTTCAACTTTACACTTCAATTGCCTGATCTGGTGACATTTCTTTTAAACTTAACGGGTGTGGTGTATTTGCCTCATCATTTAGCACGGGGAAATTGTTGCAGCAGTTGCCATATTCATTAATATAGACAATAGTTGAACACTCTCAAATGGGGATCAAGTTTTTGCAGTCATCACAAGATTCATTCTCCGAGACTTTCCAATACGGCGCTACCTACTGTATGTACAGTACAAGGTTGATGTATTACCGTTTTCCATTATACCCTCACTTGTCAACAAGCCAAGACAAGACTTAGAAAGAACACGGTGTGACTTAGGTCAGGGTTATGTTTCATAGACCTTTAGCTTAAACAACGGTCATACTTACTGATAATACCTATGCTTTTTAGACGGAGTTCAAAAGACAGCATACAAGACTATTCTCTATTCTTACACCACATATCAAGAGGCACTAAGTACCTTATTCAAGAGACCACTTTACTCCCGTGACTACATTACTCCCTCAACGACATTATTTCCGGACCATTTACGCCAGCAACCACCTGACTCCAGTGATCACCTTACACCAGCGACCACCTTACACCAGCGACCACCTTACACCAGCGAACACCTCACCAGCGACCACCTTACACCAGCGAACACCTCACCAGCGACCACCTTACACCAGCGAACACCACCAGCTTTACCCCAGCTACCACCTTACTCCAGCGACCACCTTACACCAGCGAACACCTCACCAGCGACCACCTTTATTCCAGCGACCACCTTACTATACCTACCACCTACACCAGCGAACACCTTACATCAGCGACCACCTTACACCAACGACCATCTTACACCAGCGAACACCTCACCAGCGACCACCTACTCCAGCTACCACCACTCCAGCGACCACCTTTACACCAGCGACCACGCCACCAGCGACCACCTTGCACCAACGACCACCTTACGGCACCTTACTCCAGCGACCACCTGACTATACCTACCACCTTACAACGACACCTTACACCAGCGACCACCTTACACCAGCGACCACCTTACACAACCAGCGACCACCTTACTATACCTACCACCTTACACCAACGACCACCTTACACCAGCGACCACCTTTACACCAACGACCACCTTACACACCAACGACCACCTTACACCAGCGACCACCTTTACTCCAGCGACCACCGACCACCTACACCAACGACCACCTTACACCAGCGACCACCTTTTACACCAGTGACCACTCCACCAACGACCACCTTACACCCAACCCAACCTCAACCGCCCACCCTTACACCAACGACCACCTTACACCAGCGCGACCACCTTACACCAACGACCACCTTTACACCAACGACCACCTTTACTCCAGCGACCACCTTACTATACCTACCACCTTACACCAACGACCACCTTACACCAACGACCACCTTACACCAACGACCACCTTACACCAGCGAACACCTTACACCAACGACCACCTTACACCAACGACCACCTTTTACACCAGCGAACACCTTACACCAACGACCACCTTACACCAACGACCTCACCTTTTACACCCACCACCTTACACCCAACGACCACCTTACACCAACGACCACCTTACACCAGCGAACACCTTACACCAGCGACCACCTTACACCAGCGACCACCCACAGCGAACACCTTACACCAGCGAACGCAACCCACCACCCAGCGACCACCTTACACCAGCGACCACCTTACACCAGCAGCGAACACCTTACACCAGCGACCACCTTACACCAGCGAACACCTTACACCAGCGACCACCCTTACACCACCACATAACTCCAGCCACCTTACTCCAGGACCACCTCCAGCTACCAGCGACCACTCCAGCGACCACCTTAACCCAGCGACCACCACTCCAGGACCACCTTACCCGCTTTACCACCTTTACTCCAGACCACCTTACACCAGCGACCACCTTTACACCAGCGAACACCTCACCAGCGACCACCTTACTCCAGCTACCACCTTACTCCAGCGACCACCTTACACCAGCGAACACCTCACCAGCGACCACCTTACACCAGCGACCACCTTACTCCAGCGACCACCTTACACCAGCGAACACCTCACCAGCGACCACCTTACTCCAGCGGAACCACCTCTTACTCCAGCGACCACCTTACCCAGCTAACACCTTACTCCAGCGACCACCTTACTCCAGCTACCACCTTACTCCAGCGACCACCTTACACCAGCGACCACCGACCACCAGCCACCTTACCACCCAGCGACCACCTTACTCCAGCGACCACCTTACACCAGCGACCACCTTACGACCACCTTACACCAGCGACCACCTTTACACCAGCGACCACCTTTACACCAGCGACCACCTTACACCAGCGACCACCTTACACCAGCGAACACCCTCACCAGCGACACCTTACACCAGCGAACACCTCACCAGCGACCACCTTTACTCCAGCACACCTACCCAGCGACCACCTTACACCAGCGAACACCTCACCAGCGACCACCTTACTCCAGCTACCACCTTACTCTAGCGACCACCTTACTCCAGCGAACACCCTCAGCAACCTCTCCGACCACCACACCAGCGACCACCTTACACCAGCGCGAACACCTCACAGCGACCACCTTACACCAGCGCTGACCACCTGACTATACCTACCACCTTACTCCAGCGACCACCACCAGCGAACACACTCTCCGACCACCTTACACCAGCTAGACACCTCTCCAGCGACCAATCTTACACCAGCGAACACCACCTTACACCAGCGAACACCTACACCCAGCGAACACCTCACCAGCGACCAGCACCACCTTACACCAGCGAACACCTCTCCAGCGACCACCTTACACCCCAGCGAACACCTCACCAGCGACCACCTTTACACCAGCGACCACCTTACACCAGTGACCACCTTACACCAGCGACCACCTACACCAGCGAACACCCCACCATGACACCACCTTACTCCACTCCAGACCACCTATACTACCATCTTACTCCAGCGACCACCTTACTCCAGCGACCACCTTACACCAGCGAACACCTCACCAGCGACCACCTTACCTCCAGCGACCACCTTACTATAGGACCACCACTTACCTCCAGCGACCACCCAATCAGCAGCGACCACCTTACACCAGCGAACACCTCACCAACGACCACCTCTTTACTCTAGCAAGGACCACCTTACACCAGCGAACCTTACCCCACCAGCGACCACCTTACTCTAGCGACCACCTTACACCAGCGAACACCCTCACCAGCGACCACCTTACACCAGCGACCACCTTACTATACCTACCACCTACTCCAGCGACCACCTTACACCAGCGCTCACCAGCGACCACCTTCACCAGCCACCACCGACCACTCTTAGCGACCACACCTTACACCAGCGAACACCCCACCAACGACCACCTTACACCAGCGAACCTCACCAACGACCACCTTACTTAGCGACCACCTTACACCAGCGAACACCTCACCAACGCAGCGAACACCTCACCAGCGACCACCTTACTTACACCAGCGAACACCACCAGCTATGACCACCTTACACCAGCGAACACCTCACCAGCGACCACCTTGCATCTAGCGACCACCTTATATACCTACCACCTTACTCCAGCGACCACCTTACTTAGCGACCACCTTACACCAGCGACCACCTTACACCAGCGACCACCTTACACCAGCGAACACCACCAACGACCACCTTACTCTAGCGACCACCTTACACCAGCGACCACCTTACACCAACGACCACCTTGAAGCGGACCACCTTTACACCAGCGAACACCTCACCAGCGACCACCTTTACTCTAGCGACCACCTTACACCAGCGAACACCTCACCAGCGACCACCTTTACTCCAGCGACCACCCTACTATACCTACCACCTTACTCCAGCGACCACCTTACTCCAGCGACCACCTTACACCAGCGACCACCTTACTCCAGGACCACCTTACACCACAGCGACCACCGACCACCTAGCAGGACCACCTTACTCCAGCGACCACCTTACCGACCACCTTACACAGCGACCACCTTACTCCAGGACCACCTTACTCCAGCAGGACCACCTTACACCAGCGACCACCTTACTCCAGGACCACCTTTCAGCGACTTTTGCCACCAGCGACCACCTTACCAAAGGACCACCTTACTCCAGACCACCTTACCCAGGACCACTTTACTTAGCCGACCACCTTACCCAGGACCACCTTTACTCCAGGACCACCTTACTCTAGGCGCTCCACCTTACCTTTTACCCAGGACCACCTTACTCCAGGACCACCTTACACCAGCGCGACCACTTACTCCAGGACCAATTTTTACCCAGGACCACTACTCTAGCGTTCACCTTATCTCCAGCGACCACCTTTTAGGGACCACTCCAGGACCACCTTACTCCAGGACCACCTTACTCTAGCGACCACCTTATTTCAGGTTTACACGCTCTGTGTTATTCTTTATATGGTGTGGCTTTAATAGTGTGCACTGCTGTGATGATGTTATTTGTTTCTTATAACAACTACTGCACTGTATGATCTGTTGAGCAGTAAACTTAGTGCTACTGTTTATACCATTTTCAAGTATAGATAGCGCAAACATACATATGCAAGCATACAGTAGGTGATTCAGCCTCTTCCCACCAATGTGTCATAAATTGTTTACTTTCTACGTCGGGTAAGGCTAACTTATACAATGGCCACTATCGAAGTATTTTTACCGACATGTGAAGAGAGAAATTACAATCATATTGGCGCTAATTTACTCTTATCTTTTCTCCTGGCCAGGTATGGCGGGGGTGGCAACTGTGGGCGGGTGCTTCATGGCCACACACAACACTCCACGCCAGCTGGGCGGCGACACTTCCTCCGTTTTCACCCTCAGCGGCGTCACTACCCACCAACAGGTAGCCCCGAGGCCCTCCGCTCCAGAAACAGACGTTCGCCAGACCCACCACGTACCGAGACAGATCCCCAATACCACCAAGGCTCCTCCACCACACAGCAACGGTTTCCCACACAGTCCTTCCTATCCGAGAAACCCACACTATCCACCCGATCCTCCGCCCAGTTACTCCGCGCCTAGTTACCCAGTGGGTGGAAGGGGGAGTGGAAGGAGGACTGGAGGGGTGATGCCACGCACTGCCACAAGAGTGGTGTCCTCACCTCCCAGGCTCAACACCATATCCGACCTCCCTCCGCCCTACGCCCCACCCGTTCACCACCCTCAGAGGCGGTAGTGGCTCCCGGCGATGGTGTCTCCCACCTTCCCTCCCTCATCATCATCAACATATCATCATGGTAGTCATTTTTCACTATAGATAACCGAGGAGTAATGTTATAGGGCAGCGCTGTGGAGGCCACAATATGCTGGTTGAAAGACTCATTGAAACAGAGTGAAGACTGTTCTCTGCTGTGTGGAGACTTCCTTACAGCATATGGAGACTGAGCTATGCTATACAGATACTGCGCTAAGTATTGTGGGCCACGCTATGCTATGTGACGCTCTATGTAGCACTCAAAGCAGAGGGCGGTTGACCCCGTCTCACAGCGCCCAGCGACACACACACAAACGCACGCACTCACAGGGTGAGACTTGTATGGTGCTACAGGTGTATTTGTGACACGTACTGTACCTTAGTTTATAAGTCTACGTCTTTCAATTATAAAAGATGCAATGTCTATATATATATATATATATATATATATATATATATATATATATATATATATATATATATATATATATATATATATATATATATATATATATATATATATATATATATATATATATATATATATATATATATATATATATATATATATATATATATATATATATATATATATATATTACTTACCCTGAGATTTGCACAATAGAAAAGGTTTCACTAATTGCTAAAGTAAACTTTGTGTCACTGTGATGCTGCAGTGTTCGACAAAGTAATATGTTATGAAACTTTTTTAATAATGAGCGTACATTACAGTATGTATGACCTTAACGCAGGTGGTCATGTATAAATGACTGGATGCAGTGAACATACTCGCAATATGGTAAGTTCATATACTTGTTAGACAGGTAATACTGGACACTGAGCTCTGATGTACATATTTTTTAAAACTATTGTTTTTTCTTTCTTACTCTATAGAAGAAATATTTTCCTACTTCTCCAGTTCTACGTGAAAATAGACTTAAACTTTCGACTTTCAAGAGCTTTCATTTGGTGTAATTCCACAAATACGATCACCGAACACTCAGAAAGTTTACCTTGCCAACTACGATTTGGTGAATTAAAACATATCTACACTAAACGAAGTCTGACTTACCAAGAGCGGACAAGTTTTGGTAATACTCAGTGATTCATTCCTGATGAAGTAACACGAGTTCACTGTGGTGTGTTTTGATTTGTTGTAGCGTCGCGGTTGCAGTGACTTACTGCACTTGTCGCTTGAATAAAGGTAAGCTTTACTTTGTAAATTTGCCAAACTGGCCTGTTCTTTTTCCACATAATAATAATAATTCATATAAAATATACACATAAGCATTGTAAGAAGAAACATTGAAATAGACATCCAAGTCTTTTTTCCGAGCGTTACCATAAGACTCTAAGAGAAAACGAATATATTTGTGTTATACAAAATTCAACCAAATATCCTATTTCGGATCGTAAGTGCAACATCTCTCACACCTTTTAGTAGTCCCAATCCTCAAAAATTCACACGTTAAACTTTCTCAAACTACGTATGTGAAAACGAACCTAAGTCACTTACCCAGCCTGCTGGCCACCAGACAGAGATTGATATTACAATGAAATTCTACTGCAAGTATAGATATGTTTTCTTCTAAGATAAGAGAAAATCAACACAGAAACATATGAGGATCCGAGACCCAACTCTCCAGTTGGTATACAATACGGAAAATAAATCTCTGTAGACAAACCTGACTTTCTGGTTGATGGAGCAGCTTATGACCTGACCTTGGTCCATGAGGACAGAGGTGACTCCTCCGACCAAACACTGAGCCACAAATTACAGGAAGCACCTCATGGCTTTGCAGATTCCCCAGGCGATAATTATGTATACAACATTAGAACAAAATTGTGTTAGTTTGTGACTTAACTAGTTTTGAAAATCTATCTAATTTTCTGTTAAATGATAAATTTTATGAAGACACGCATATAGGTATGACAATAAGTTAGAAGAATATATAGAGATTGCAATCTTTTATTTTCCGTTTTAGGTAATAATGTTTATATAATATAATGTAATATACCAGATCCAGATATTAAAACTATTATAAATTAATGCCTTTAAAATATAGAAATAACGACCGAAAAGCAAGTACTCTTAATTAGGAATGAATAAAGTTTGTTATTGTATCTAGAAAAGGAAATTAAAATAGTTAATATCCAATGAAACTGTAACAAAGTTATGTAGCGCGACTAAAGTTACCTGTCCGCTTGCACCTCAACTGTGAGAGCTTCTTAGATTGTTTGTATAGTCATCTTCCAAATATATTTTTACAACAGATCGCCAAAACTGTATTTACACTCAGCTTTCCTTCTGTATTATCCACTAAAAGCTATGGAACGAAAAATCAAAAAGTATAAACCAGGAAGAGGGAACTGGCCCGCCGAGGATATTGGTGAATATATTGGTGTATCTTAGACAAAATATAAATTATATATATATTCGCTGCCACCGCCCCTTCTGCACTCGATGTAACACTCCACATGTGCAACTCAAGTGAGCGACTCTGCCGGTCACGTATCGGCCCCTTTAGTCACCTCAAAACTCACCAATGAAGGTGACATCCCTAATAACTCATATCATTGTATTCATAGCTGGATTATCCTCATACTCGATTCCAAGTGACAGCAAAGTAGTAGTAGTCGGGCTAACTCGAAAGCATTTTCACTCGTGTGGTGCTCCTCCAAGCATTACAATGTGGGGTAATCGACTCCCAAGTGAGGGGATCGATTTGGCACTTTTTCAGGTTTGTCTTAAGACTATGCTTAATTGGTTATACCAATTCAGATGCCCACTAGCATTACGTTTACTATTCGTTATGTGACTGTAAAGTAGCTGCTTTGGCAGTCTACTGTCGTCCATGCGGGTAACATAGCCAGTCCAGCGTAGTTGTTCATGGATAATGGTAGCTTCGATGCTCCTAGAATTGGTCTCAGCAAGAATACTGGCATTTGTCCTCGTCTTCCCAGCAAACAAGGAGGATGGAACGTAGACTGCGGTGGTGAAAGTTTTCAAGTACCTTGAAGTGCCTCCTGCATGTGACCCATGTCTCACTGCCATAGAGCAGGGTGGGGATGACACTGCTCGATAGACGTGTAACTTTGTAGATAATTTCAGCTCCCTACAGCTGAATACACGATTTTGGAGTCTTGTCAAAGGCTTGAGATGCGCATCTGATCCAATGCTGAATCTCCTCATCAATGTCCATGTTGGTGGACAGGTTGGAGCCGAGATACAGAAAGTGGGTAACATTAGAGAGGGTAGTACCATTAAGCTGGATGGATGGTGGAGGTGTGTCTGAACCATGGGCAGATTGAATGAGAATCTGACTCTTAAGTACATTCACTTCAAGGTCGAAGTGTGCAAACGCATCTGCGTAGGTGTTCAGGATCTCCTGCAGGTCGTGTTCAGTGTGAGGAACAAGGGTGAGGTCGTCTGCATACTGAAGATCAGTAATGGAAGCTGCCCACACCTTTGTTCTTGCCTGAAATCGTCTGATGTTGTCCACCCTGTTGGCTAAATTGGCACTGGCATGAGTAAGGAAGGCAGCCAAGAAAATGGAAAAGAGAGTTAGTGTCAGTACACACCCTTGTTTAACGCCCATTTGGATAGGAAAGAACTCAGACTCGGTGCCATTGTGCAGGACACTGCCGTTCATGCCATCGTGGAGTTGCCTCATAATGGCGATGAATTTTGGTGGGCAGCCAAAACGGCTGAGGGTCCACCAGAAGGCTTCCTTGTTGAACGAGTTGAAGGCCTTGGTTAGGTCGATGAAAGCCATGTATAGGTCACGATGCTGTTCTCTGCACTTTCCCTGTATCTGCCGGGCAGCAAAGATCATGTCAGCAGTGCCACGTGATGGTCTAAAGCAACATTGAGATTCTGGGAGGAAGTTTTCAGCCACAGGAAGAAACCTGTTTAAGAAGACTCGGGCGATAATCTTGCCAGCTATGGACAGCAGTGAGATCCTGCAGTAGTTGCCACAGTCTGACCAGTCTTTCCTGTTCTTATAAATATTGACAATGGAGGCGTCTTTAAGGGCTTGGGGGGGGTTCTCCTCCTCTTCCCAGATATTCTCCAGGAGAGAGTGGAGACGGCTGGTAAGCAGAAGTCCTCCTGCTTTATACACCTCGGCTGGGTTTCCATCAGGCCCTGAGGCTTTGTTATTTTTCATCTGTTTGATGGCAGTAGCTACCTCGTCCAGGGATGGAGGATGACTGAGGTGTGTCAGCTCTGGATGCTGAGGAACCTGCTGGGTAATCAGGACATCCACATCTGTGTTTTGGTTGAGCAGTGAATGGTAGTGCTCTTTCCAGCACTGAAGGAGGCCTTCACCATCTTTAATTATGGAGTTACCGTTGGGTGAGCGGATGGGGACTGCGGCACGAGTGATTGGCCCATAAAATGTTTTACCGGAATTGAAAAATTTGCGCATCTTGTGCTGATCTGCAAATTTTGTGCTTCACATGCTTTATTTTTAAACCAATTATTCTTTAGAATGCGAAGTTCCCACTGGGCCGCTGCTTTCTTCTTTCGGAAGGTATCAGTTTTGGTCCGAGACTAAGGGTTGTTCTGCCAGTCAGTTAAAGCAGCATGTTTATCATTGATGAGTGCATTGATTGCCTGGTCATTTTCATCAAACCAGTCCTGGTGTATTCTTTCGATATGGCAGAGGGTCTCTCTGCAGGTTTTTGTCATGACAGTGTCGAGAATACCCCATTCGGCACTGGGATTTGCATTGTTTGCTGTTGGGTTGTTTAGCAGCCCATGTTCGAGCTGCTCTCTGAAAGCATGTGCTACTGCTGGATCCTCCAGACGCTTAGTGTTAAAACCTCTTCTGAAGGCATGCTGCCTTCGCCGTTTTGGTGTGACATGAAGTGAGGGCTTGGCTCTAACGAGCCGATGACCAGTGTCGCAGTGATCTGAGCCACGTACGGCATAGGTGATGAGGACATCTCGGTGATCTCTCTCTGACAATAATGGAGTCAATGAGATGCCAGTGTTTGGATAGTGAGTGTTGCCACGAACCCTTGAGCTTGTTGGCCTGCCTAAACAAGGTATTGGTGACAGTGAGGTTGTGTGCAGCACACTTGCTGTGGAGGAGTAGGCCTTTGGGATTACATTTGCCTAGTCCATTACTCCCTATGGTTTCCTGCCAAAGGTCAGCATCTCTGCCAACTTTGGCATTGAAGTCAACCAAGGAGCACAACCTCTGTCGAGGTCGGCGTAAAAGGTATCCTTGATGTCATCCTCTGCACACACACACACACACACACAACCTACACCCTTGACCACCGGAGGGTCAAGGCCTATCAACCTGTGCAACCATGTTTAGCCCATTCCTCAAGTCCCTCTCCCCGACCCATCCTCACCACCGGGATATGAAAATAATCAAGTGACAATTTCGTTTGGGAAAGAAGTGGGATCAGTGTTGAACAGTGATGATC